CGCGGGGTGGTTCGGGGGCGGCGGGGCAAAGAGCCGAGGCGGCGCAGGTGGACGCGAGCTGAGATCGAGTTCTGGGACCGGAGGTGGAGGGAGCGGGCTGGGAGCTGTTGCCTGGCGCGCCGACCATCGCCTGTAGCGTGTTTTACTCGACCCTGGTGACCCGTTTCTCCCCGGCCAGAGGACCCCGGGGGTCTGGTGGGGTCATTCCACCCAAGAGCCTTCCCTACCCTCACCCTCACCCCCACCCGGGATCGAGGGGCCCCTCCGGTGGCGCTTCCAGGTCCTCGGCTCTTCGGCCACGTTCGGGATGCGATCGGATGGGGAGCGAGCGGCTCCCGGCACCCGGCTCACAACCTGCAGACCCAGAAGCTAAGTTCGCGGTCCCACCTCGACTGACGCCCCGGCTGAGTTTCTCCGAGAAGCCCCGTTAAAAGGGGCCTTTGCGGCTAGGTTGCTGTGCGAGAAAGTCTGAGTAGAATTTGTTCCGCGTGTAGGTCCCCAACATGGGTGTGTGGTTAGGTATGCTTTCTATAAAATTCGAAAAGAAAACCTTTTTCTTTCTTTCTTTTAAATTAAATAATCATTTTATTTGGGGGCTCTTACAGTTCTTATAACAATCGATGGTATCAAGCATATTTGTACATAGGTTGCCATCACTTTTCTACACATTAACTTTCTATTGAGCCCTTGGTATCAGCTCTTTTTTCCCCTCCCAACCCCTTGTGACCCCTTGATAAATTATAAGTTATTATTGTTTTCATGTCTTACACCGACTGCTGCGTCCCTTCCCCCGCACGGTTTCCGTTGCTCGTCCCCCGGGGGTCGGGGTGGTGGTGGTGACGTGTTGGTGGTTGCGATTGGTTTCCCCTTCCTCCCCTCCTCTGCCCACCTTCCCCCTACCCTTCTGGTATCGCTCTTTTCTAAAATCGATTGTCTTCTTGGAAGCAGCAGTGAGCAGGGGTAAGTATTCGCCACCCTCCACCCTCCACCCCAGGCCAATCCGCTGCTCCGGGTGGCGGTGTTGGCAGTGTATGGGGCAATCTTTGCGCTGACCTCCATCCGCTACCCACCCTACCTCCCCCCATGGGAGGAGGGATTAAGGCTGTTTGATAATAGGTACGATTACCATAGCTACTGGTTTTGGCAAGAGCCGTAACTTCCCCGCTCGCTGGAATGTTTCGGAGCTGGGAAGCGGCGCTGCCCTTGGCGCGGTGCCCTCGCTTCCTCCGAGTCCCCCGGTCGGGGATTGCAGCTCCGCACCGCGCGCCCCCAGCGCTGCGCTCTTCCCGGAGGTGCTGGTCCGGAGCGCGCTGCTCAGATGTAACGCCACCTCCAGGGAAGGAAGTCAACGTGTTTCCAAAAAGCTAGGAGAGCCAAAAATCCCCTGTGTTTGGGAAACAGTGTTTACTAAGATTCGTTCCAGTTGAATTTTCACGGCACATCGATGGATGGATTGACATGTACCGGTGCCCACGTTTCATGTTGCTCGGCTGGTCTTTACCCCCCATCCCCAACCCCAACCCCAGCAGCAGCTTGCTCAGTGAAACCTTTGATTCCTTCCTCCGTTGGCTGTGTGTAAGATGTGAGCGTATTAAGGTGAAACTGACATCTGTGTTTCTGGACAGGTCTGGAGCAGTACAGTGAGGTTTGACGAGGGGAAAACGCTCCGTTCTGAGGGGACGGACTCTTCTCTGTTCCGTGTGGTGCAGGCTGGGGGGGAGGGGGCTGTGTGACCTCGGGCAGGTGAACCCCGCACCCTCATCTAGAACGTGAGTGCTTGAGTTTAGACGACATTGTGAGAATCTCTACATGCCACCCAGAGGCACTGCAGTTTGCTGGAGAGAGCTAGGATACAGGGTCCCCAGAAGCTAGGCCGGCTTAGAGAGGTTTGGGTGTATGGCTCCGAAAAAGATCCCCAAAGAGTCACTCCAGACTGACATCTGTCTGCACCGTGGACAACTATATGCAGAGTCATCAGAGTTGAGTTTTCTACCTTTCTTGAACGGTTATGTGCTAACTGATGAATGTTGCTTTCTAGTCCTGATGTGAAGTTCTCATCTTAGACATTTCTAGAGCCTGGGGACTGGATGAAATGGGAGCACTGACTTTCGGCTTCTTGCTATGAGCTCATATTCTGCCTATAGAAGTGTGGAAATGAGGGAAGTAAAAGTTATATTGCAAAAGTTATAGTTGCCCCCTCCCCCGCCCAAAAAAAAACGTCCTCAGAATGCTGATCACACACTCTCTTCAGTCCCCATAGCCATCACGTGCTTTACCCGAGGCCTGGACATCCGGAAAGAGAAAGCCGATGTCCTCTGCCCAGGGAGCTGCCCTCTTGAGGAATTGTCCGTTTTTGGGAACATCGTGTACGCGACTCTATCGAGCATTTGTGGTGCTGCACTACACAGGTAAGCCCAACCGTGGCCAGGAGGGAGAAAGGTGAGTTTCCCCACTTTCTCTAACCCAGGTACTACCACAGTTCTACAAGGTTGGTACAGTTTCACCCCACTTTACAGATGAGGAAACAGACGTTCAGGAGTTGTCAGATACCTTTTTCAAGGGTAGTTAGCAAGTCCTTATCATCCCCCGCCTCCTTTCCCCGCCCCCCACCCCCACCCCCTGGCTCTGACAGCCTAGGTGTGCCTCCATCACCATTGTGAGATGCCATTGTGTGAATGGCCAGGGTGACATTTTAATTTTAGTGAAGTCCAAAAGCATGCAGTTAAAGTCGTGAACTTAGAAAACCAGGGACATTGTTCAGATCTCTGTCAGTAACCCTGAATCTGAGTTTTCCACAAGAGGTTCTTTAATTGTACACCAGTCTGTTCTTGTCAACACTTACCAGGTTTGACAGCTCAAAACCGTTTCCCCAGGCAGTTAGTTTTGTCCCAGTGTAGGCAGGTTTGTAAGAGGCTGGCATCCTTAGCCGGCTTCCCTGCTGAACCGTTTTCTTGATAAATCAGAGCAATCGATGCAACCTGGCACGATACACCCACTGGGTGCCCCTGGAAAGTGGGGAGACCATCTCTGCCGTTGTTCTTGTTGCAGGGGGGTCATCAGCAGCTCGGGGGGACCTGTGAGGGTATATAGCCTACCGGGCAGAGAAAACTACTCCGCAGTAGTTGGCAACGGCATCCAGTCCCAATCGCTTTCCAGATGGTCTGCTTCTTTCACAGTGACTAGTAGGTACCATTACTTTGTTCTCAGTTTTGTATGTATTTCCACCCCTACCCCTACTCCCACCCCACAAATAAACGTTTTCTGCCAATCTTAACCCCACCTCCTTGCTCTGATGGCAAAACCTTTGGCCTGAAGAGGTCAACTTTGAGTTGAGAGCCAAGCACCCACTGGAGCCAAATTTGGGGGAAGACTGATCTTACCATCAGAAGATAGCGATAGACATGTGAAAATTGTCTGCTCTCCAAGTGCACCCACACTGAACCCAGTGCACGCAGCCCCGGGTTACGAACAAGTTCAGGCCCTGAGTCTGTCTCTAAATCTAATTTATATGTACGTTGGAACAGTTAGATGTGGTTCATATCTAATTTTACTCAAATGTACCTTTCTATACATATAACATTTTGAAGAAACATTTCTTTTTTTGTTTGTTTTGTTTTTTGTTCATTTGTTTGTTTTCGAAATGATTTTAATGGGAGCTCTTCCAGCTCTTAAAGCAATCTACACATCAGTGGTATCAGGCGCACCGATACATATGTTGCCATCATCATTTCCAAAACATTTTCTTTCTTGAACCCTTGGAATAAGCTCCTCTTTTTTTCCCTCCCTCTCCCACCCTCCTACTTTCGTGAACCCTTGATAAATTATAAATTATTACTATCTTTATATCTTACACCATCCATAGTCTCCCTTCACCCACGTTTCTATTGTTTGTCCCCCTCAGGGTGTGTGCGTGTGTGTAAAAGAAACATTTCTAGACATACTAAAACATCTTTAACATAATACCATGTATACAAATAATAATGCTTTGAGATGTGTAAAAAAGCAGCACTGGATTGTTATTTTGAGTCATTTTATGTACCTGGACTTGATAATGTAATAGGCCTTAAGGCAGCAGTTCTCAACCTGTGGGTCACGAGCCCTTTGGAAGTCGAATGACCCTTTCCAGGGGTCGCTCGATTCATAACAGTAGCAAAATTACATTTATGAAGTAGCAACGAAAATAATGTTATGGTTTGGGGGTCACCACATGAGGAACTCTATTAAAGGGTCACGGCATTAGAAAGGTTGAGAACCACTGCTTTAAGGGGTTAGTTCAGAACTTCAAATTGTACGTAAGCCAGATGCTCAGAACCTGGGGATTGTCTGTATCATGAACGCAAAAACTGGTACGTTCTCATTTGGTGATCCTTGCGGTGTGTTGGGCTGAGTTTTGGCATGCTGGCCCCAAAGTTGGCAGCTGAAACCCCCCAGCTGAGCTGTGGGAGAGAGACTGCCTGCTCCTGCACAGATGTGCAGGTTCAGAAACCTAAGGGAACCGTTCTCTGCTGTCCTATAGAGTTGCCACGAGTTGGAATAGGCTCGGTGGCAGTGTGATTGATTGATTGATAAAAATAGCCTCTGAAACTAGCATGCAGCAACAGGTTTTACTCCTGCACGAAACCCTGTGACATTCAACATCCTCCACGCCTGACGGTCAAGTCTACCTTATGGGCACCCTAGAGGGCAGAGCAGAACTTCTACAGGGTCTCCAAGACTGGCATTGTCAGGGGGCAGACTGCCACGTCTTTCGCCCACACAATGGCTAGTGGGTTGGAACTGCCCACCTTTCGATTAGCAGTCAAGCGCTTATCCAGGACTCCTCCATCACCCTATAGAACCATAATTACATCAAGAACGCTCTGATACTGGAGAACGAGGGGGAAATTAAGCATCTCTTTGTTTTAACAGAAGGCAAAAGCAGCTCCCAAGAAGCCACGGGACAAGCAGTATCCACAGCACGTCCACCAACAGGTATGGAATATGGAGCCTGTCTCCAGTCACCTGGCACAGCCTGGGGAAGAAGAAATGAGAAACTGATATGACAGAGAAAGCAAGTCATCTTAATTGACTGATATATTTATTGTACAATGTTTTAGTTAGACATCCCTAGTCTATTTTAAATGATAAACTCTGCCACCAATCTTTCTCCAGGTTCAGTGTGTTTTTTATTTTGTTGTTGTTTGTCTTTAAAAGAATCCACTTGGTGCTCTGAAACCAACACCCAACAGGTTTACTCACGCAATCACCAAGCTCCTTGTGACCCTCAGCCTCCTGCATCTGCGACTGAGTTGATACACCACACTTAGGAACTGATCAAAGTCCTGTTGATATGCTTCCTTTAATCCCTGGATTAGTGCTCTGTCACGTGAATACAAGGAATTGTAATCGAACCTTATTAGCCAGGGACCCCCTATTCTAAGACTGTGCTGGTTTAAGTCACAGGAACGAAGACATTAGGCTCTCGCGGTTTAGTTTCCATGTCTGCCCCATCTACAGGTTGGCGGTCGCAGAGCCCTGGGCTGCAGGCATAGCCAACGTGTGGAGCTAAAGGAGCTGCACTGCCGTGAACATGTTAACCTTGTTGAGCCATTGTTTCCCCCATCCAGGACACGGTGAAGAAATTTTAAGAAGTCTTTTGAACAAAGACAACAAAGGCTTATTATGGGCTTTTCCCATGAGGGTTTCTTGTTGTGGAAGAGGAAACCCTTTGGCTAAGGCCACACGTGCATCCTTTATTTCAGGTAAACGACAAAAGAAAACACCTGAGAAGAAAACCGGCAATAAAGGTGAGAGTCAAGATCATTGGTTTGGGAAAAGACTCGCTCTTTCAGTAAGACCGATCACAGAAAATTCTTGTTTGAATGTTCGCAGACTGCAAAGCAGACATTGCTTTTCTGATCGATGGAAGCTTTAATATTGGGCAGCGCCGATTTAATTTACAGAAGAACTTTGTTGGGAAAGTGGCTCTAATGCTGGGAATTGGAACAGAAGGACCACATGTGGGCCTTGTTCAAGCCAGGTACCGATCTTGCTTGTTAAGATGGGGGCAATTTGAATGTTGTCTTGACGGATGACAAATGATGGCTCCTTCATCGTGGGTGCATTCACTGCAGTCCCACATCCAGCTCCAGGGCCATTGAGTTGGGAGCGATCTTTTGTGACTTTATTGAGGGTGTCTGAGGCTGTAAATCTTTACAGGAGCAGAGACTCATTTTTCTCCCTTTCAGTTCAAAATAAACATGTGAACAACCCAGATTACCAAACTAGAAGGTCGGGTTTTAAGACTTCCTGAAAGACTAGGCAGGTGTGAGTGCTTCCTCTTTTGAATAAAGGGATTTAGAGAACTGCATGTGACCTGTTTGAGGACCCGAAGGTAAGATTAACAGGTCCTGTGGCTCATACAAGTGGCCTTGGCATGAATTCTCTGCTCAATTCCCAATTTCTCTCTTCTGAAAAGAGCAGTGATATGTCAATTTCTCCTCACAATTCCATTTTTTTAAAGTTATTTCCATATGAGTTTGTTTAGCAATCTGAAGCCTGGCCTTTTTAATATTAATTTTTAAAGTTTTGATGATTTTTAGAAATTTAAATAGGCTTAAAAAAGGAAAGAAAACTAAAATACAAAACAAAAAAACTTTAAAGCACCAAGAAAGCAAAAATTTGCATCACAACCTTAAGAGATAAGATGTTTTCTTTCCTTCCAACATTTTAAGAACATATTTGATGGTATATATGTACGTCTTTTCCAAATGCTCAGACTTCAATAATGTATCCTGTTTTTCCTTCCATGGGTACTTAAAATATTATCTCATATCACACATGACCTTCAAAAACATGTTTCATAATAATCCATTTCATGGTAGTTTAACCATTCAATTGTTTGTTTTTTCACTATCACTAACAACTGCTAAACATCCTTATGTCAGGTTTGAACATATCGCTGATGACTTCATTAGGCTAGCTTCCTGGAAGTGAGATCAGGGGTCAAAAGGTTCTGACATTTTGAAGGTTTCTGAAAGTTGGGCCAATTTACATTACCATCAGCAGTATATAAATGTCACCAATACTATCCTAAATAATGTATACATTTCCTTATTCTTATGTTTTAGAATTGGTTCTTAGTCCAGATTGACTTTTTAAAAATTTCTTTTTGTTAAGAAAAGCATTTTTTTTGGTTACAGTTTAACAAGGTATCCTCTTTTTTTTAATAGATGTGCTACTTATTCAGATTTGTGATCTCACTTTTATATACAAGTTTTGACAAGTCTGTTTCTTTAGTGGATGTGTTAGTTTTTAATATCTTTGATTATTATAGCTTTATTCTGCAGTTTAACATCCAATAGGGAAAATTCCCCTGAATTACTATTATTCTAACATTTTTCTTGGCTAATTTTTTTTCTTTTTCAGTATTCGTGAATTGGGTGAAGGTGTACAGAGTCGATCCATTCATTTCAAACATATTTTGTTTCATGTCATTGGTTGCAATCTCACAATGTACAACGACCGATCACTTCCTCTCTGTGCTTCATGTTGCCATTTGTCCTCCATTCCCAACTCTCTGAACTTTGTCCTTGGGGAAATGCTGTCCTTTTGCTCTCAAGTGGTTGATCACTGTAGAGTGAACACCTCCCTAGAGTTACTCCCCCCGGGGGATAACGAACGAGTTCAGTTCCATACGGTTGGGTGATCTTAGTCGCCAGGGTTTCACCAGCCTCCATCTGAGACAGGAAGACTAGCCTTTTAAAAAATGATTCTGAGTGCGGCCTCACCATTCCTCCCACTCGATCCAGGACTCTCATGCATCCTTCGTTTGCTTCACACAGGGAGGGAATAATAGTCCACTTCGAATGTCCACTAAGACCCCTGTGTCTGCTGAGCAAAGTACATGTGGCGCATTGTCTTTGTGGATTATGTATGCTATACCCATTGACTTTGCTGTCACCCGAGACTGGTCCCTGAGCCCTCAGGCCCAGCAACTCAATACCCTCAAGATACTTGATGACGTTTAAGAAGTTTTCATAACTTTGCCCCCTCTATGCTTTACCGCATTGGTGGATATTTTTACAGCATAGCTAAATACATGTGTAGAAATATCCTCTGGCAAACTTTTATACAGTTGTGGGTACGTACAGTCCATTGTCCCTCCCACATGCAGTCAGCCTGTCGGTCTATCCATGCGACCACCCTTAGATCTCCATTAGTGCAGGATTGAACATACAGCAGGATTCTCCTCTGTGGCCTTTAAATTACTCTTTTTCAAAACGAAAGCTAGATACCTTTGTAGATGGATACCCTTTCCAAGCTTTGTAGTAATTACTTTTGTTTGCGGAGGAATTGTAGTGGGCCAGTGAGTCGGTTCCAGCTCACTGTGGCCCTAGAGGGCAGAGAAGAACCATCCAAGAGAATTATCTAGGCTGTCTTTTTCTTTTTAATCATTTTATTTGGGGCTCGTACAGCTCTTCTCACCATCCATCCATTGTGTCAAGCACATTTGTACATTTGTTCAGGCTGATATCTTAATGGGAGCAAAGAGGTTGTTCTCCTAAGAAGTACCTGGTGGGTTTGAACTCCTGTCCTTTCAGTACTGAGTGCTTTACCACATAGCACCAGGTCTCCTTAGGACAGTGGTTCTCAACCTTTCTAATGCCACGACCCTTTTTAATTTCTCACGTTGTGGTGACCCCTCAACCATAAAATTATTTTTGTTGCTACTTCATAACTGTAATTTTGCTGTTATGAATCGGGCGACCCCTGTGAAAGGGTCATTTGACCCCCAAAGGGGTCACGACCCACAGGTTGAGAACCCCGCTCCCTGAGGCAGAGTAGTAGAATAGACGAACTATTCGGAAGATTTTCTTTAAGCAAAATAACAGGCTTTATGAAGGTCTTTGCAAAATAATGACTAATCTCATAAACCATAAGTTGGATAGTTGAAAAGTGAACATTCTCAACTCATGAAACCTGATTTTGTGACCTAACATTCCACTAGGCATGCAAAAATCTGGCAGAATAAACAATCCATGCAGCACTTGATCCTCACTAACCTTCCCTTCACAAGATGTCAAGATTTAAAAATTTTATATGTATGAAATACTAAGCTAAAAAACAAAACACAACAGATTTTTCCTTAGTTTTTATTCAGCATCTCTAATGAACACAAATTAATTTATTAAAGTGAGGTAAAAATGATATTAAATATGGAAAATAAAGTCCCAAATGGCTTATACATAATTTTAATATCTGCATGTGCCAGTGTCACACAAAAAATAATCAGCTCTCAAGTTCAATTCTGGAATAATACCATGTATCATATATACTGCACTATGTTGTACTTTTCTACTTTTAAAATGCTGCCCTAGTGTCATTGAAATTTCATCATCTGATCAGAGACCTGAGTTAATAGATCTAGGCTGCTTAGTGCTTCTGAGTCTTCCATGCAAGCAGACCTCCTCTTACAGCTTAGTCGGCCTCCAAGAATACCCCATGCTCAATTCTGTAGACTCCCGTTAAGCATGCCCAGTACCTTAAGCCAACCCTACTTTTCGCTGATCCATGTAATCTAGCCACGTACTTTGGATTCAGACAGACTTAACATTTAGAATGTGGCTATGTTTGGGGGGGTAAATAGTCTTATCTAAATGTTGAGCCTCTCAGTTCATTTACTTATAAAATTCCTACCTGTGGTTCTACTTTGCACACATGAAATCACTGAGCTGGAGCAGACAGTTTAACTACTAACAGAGTTAGGGTGAATTGAGATTATGTGTGTTATAGATTTAATGCATAATCCCTCAGAATACATTAAGCCCTCCATCCAGCAAGTGACCTTGTTACATAGATTTCTGGAATATGCCCAACAACCCTTAACTGATAATATTATGAGATTAAGAAACCTTGGGTGTTGTTTGATTTAAAGGTATATTTTATTTATATTTTAAAGGCATATTTAAAAAGGTATATAATGTTGCTTGTTTCGCCATTTGAGTTTTCCCTGAATAACATTTTCTTATCTTTCCACAAGTGAACATCCAAAAATAGAATTTTACTTGAAAAACTTTACATCAGCCAAAGATGTTTTGTTTGCCATAAAGGAAGTAGGTTTCAGAGGCGGTAATTCCAACACAGGTAAGTAGATGTAAGTACTTGGGATGTAATATAGGAGAAGGGTTATCAGTGACCAGACATAGCAAACAATATGGCATGATTTTATGTAAACAGGTTTTCACACCTTGAAATTATGGTTGTCTGTACTTGATCATACAATTCATTTAATGTCATCTATATACACACACACACACGATTTGTAATATTCATTGGATAGGCCAAAATGTCATTTTAGAAAAGCATCCTTGTACAATGATAACAGAAGCAAAGATCAATAGCTGTAAAGCATAAAGCTATGTTTAAATAAAAAAAATAAAAACAAAACACACATACAAAAAAAAAAAGCATACAGCTATGATAGGGGTGGCCTAGAGCAGTGCTGACCCTCTTGTCTTGAGCAATCTTGCCCTGAGTCCTGAGAGGTACTTACTAGTCCATCACTAAGAGCATCAGCTAGAGAGCACATGTACAGAAGTCAGTTTTGTGTTTTTGACTTTTGATTGATGTGAGAAAAAGGGAATTGTGAGGCTTCTGGGGGCGGGGAGTGGGGAAGTAATGTGGGTTGTAGACAAAAAATTGCCTGACGATTAAACTTTCTTGTCTGATGCATCCATTTATTATAGAGCTGAGTTCTCTACAAGTCAGATCTTTAGACACAGTTGCATTGAGTTGCTTCAGGGAAATAGAAGTACCATTTCATCAGTAGCAAGTGCTGCTCCAGTTGCTTGTTTGTTTGTTTGAATCTAGGAAAAGCTTTAAAGCATACAGCCCAGAAATTCTTCACAGCAGACACCGGAGTGAGAAAAGGGATCCCCAAAGTGGTGGTGGTGTTTATTGATGGCTGGCCTTCTGATGACATTGAGGAAGCAGGCATTGTGGCCAGAGAGTTTGGCGTTAATGTATTCATCGTTTCTGTAGCCAAGCCTATCCCTGAAGAACTGGGCATGGTTCAGGATGTTGCATTTGTTGACAAGGTAAGGTGGAACAAAGGTAAGGAGGTAGGGGCTCTTGGCTCTATGGCACGGACTCAATTCTAGACCTATGAGTGCTTGCTGGCCTGTATCTGGATTAACTGAATAGCCAAGACTGAATGCTCTCATAGTTTTAAAAGTTAACTTATCTTTTTTTATATTCTTTGTGTGTTCGCCCCCATTAGGCTGTCTGTCGGAACAATGGCTTCTTCTCTTACCATATGCCCAACTGGTTTGGAACCACCAAATATGTAAAGCCTCTAGTGCAGAAACTGTGCAGTCATGAGCAAATGATGTGCAGCAAGACCTGTTATAACTCTGTGAACATTGCCTTCCTAATTGATGGCTCCAGCAGTGTTGGAGAGAGTAATTTCCGTCTCATGCTTGAGTTTGTTTCCAACATAGCCAAAACGTTTGAGATCTCTGATATTGGTGCCAAAATAGCTGCTGTACAGTTCACATACGATCAGCGTCCAGAGTTCAGTTTCACTGACTACAGCACCAAAGAGAATGTTCTAGCTGTTCTCAGAAACATCCGCTACATGAGTGGTGGAACAGCAACTGGGGATGCCATTTCCTTCACGGTCAGAAATATTTTTGGGCCCATGAGGGAGAGCCCCAACAAGAACTTCCTAGTGATCGTCACAGATGGGCAGTCCTATGATGACGTCCGAGGCCCCGCTGCTGCTGCGCATGATGCAGGTAAGTCCTTTGCAAGGAAACGGAATTGAGGAATCCGGTGGGACTAAGAAAAATGTATTTTACTGAAATATACAATGTGACAGGCACTAAGGGCTTTAACCAGTATGAACTCATTGTCATAGCAACCTTACTATCCTCCGTTACAGATAAACAAAGAAATGTTACCAATTTTTCTAAAATCATTCAACTAGCAAGCGTTGAGGTCAGCCGAGGCGTCATGCTCTTTAAAGACTTCATTACTGGGAGAGCGGCCATGAAAGCCACGTCAAATATGAAGCTGTCGCTCCAAGTACCCTTGTTTGGTCCAATCCTGGAATACACCCCCAAATGATCACTTCATCGTGACTTTCATTAATTTTTCATAGCTTTTTTGGGAAGTTTTCAGTCTGGTGTCTTCAATAAAGACTTCAAATCTAACTCAGCTTACCACATTTTTTTACTTCTCAATTGGAAAAAGAACACTCAGGCTTGAGTTAGAGAAAATTTTTGTCCCTCGTCCTAACCTTGATACTTTAGCAAACTACTTCCTGCACACATTCAACAACGTGCTGCTGAATCAAACAGGCCTGCAGCACTTCCTTTCCTAGAATACTAGTGACACAAACCCGATGACACTTACAAATGTGTATTTAAGCAGGTGACCAACATTCTTCTGCTTCCCCCCCTCTATATATTCACACCTCTGCCAAGGCATGTCTATACATATGTAAACACATGTATATATCATGCACATATATGTATTAAGGACACACAAAGTAGGAAGGAAAAGTGATAGGCAATTTAAACTATGTATCTAACTTACAATTAGTATTTTATACAACAGCAACTATGTTGACAAGAAAACTTATTTGCTACCATCTAAATCTGCTTTGTTCCAAGTCTTCATTAACTCAGCAGTGTATGCCACTAGAAGGGGAGGCAATATTACAATAACTGTCAAATGTGTTAGTCATTGGGAATTTCATTCAACAGAAGGTAATCTGCACTGAATTTGCCAAGTGTCTACTGCAATTGAGAATAAAATGAATCCAATATATTGTTAACCTAATTCAAGAGACTACTGAAACCTCAGTGTAATTGGAAGAAACTATCCTAGCGTTAAAAAAATCCTTTGTATTACTAGATTTTTGCTTTAGGACTAAAGACTTGACAAACCAACCATTGGACAGTTTGTTTGTGAAACACATAGAAAGACCGGAGTGGGAGGACTAGCCATCACAGCAGAGTAGTCTATTTCTGTCAATTCAACCATCTTGGAAAATGATAACAGCATTTACTTGCCATTTTACGGCATTTTTATTATATGCCCAACTCCAATATAGTAATTGAACCAATGATAATAGGCAGTCTTTTCTTGTACCAGTCTCAGATCAGACGTTTTTCATTTCATTCTTGAGCCACTTACCCTGGTTATTTGCTATTAGGTGCTGGTGGGCCTTCTGGGCAGGTTGGGGTAGGGGTGGTGGTGGAAGCAATACATGCTGAATCACAGCAAGAAACTGGCCATCTAGTCATTGTTTACAAAGTGTGTTCTAGTGCGAATGGTGTTGAATTTTTATCCAGTATTTTTTGTCAACATGACCATCCTGATTTTTATGTTGAATTCACTGATTGCAAGCTTCCAGTTTCCACAAAAATGATAGTTTTTGAGTCACTGTGTTGGGTGGCTTAATGAATTCGGTGCTGGGGTTTCTTCAGACATTAGTAAGCAGTCTCTCTGCAACTATGTACAAATGTTTAGAAAACAGACAACTTTATGTGTAAACGGGGGCATTTCAATTCACTTTACAACGTTCCCATTGTAGGCATCACCATTTTCTCCGTTGGCGTGGCTTGGGCACCTCTGGATGACCTCAAAGATATGGCCTCGAAACCAAAGGAATCGCACGCTTTCTTCACCAGAGAGTTCACAGGACTAGAACCAATCGTTTCTGATGTCATTAGAGGCATTTGCAGAGATTTTTTAGACTCTCAGCAATAAGGGGGAATATTGTGAAAACGGAAAAAGTACCAAGGGGCTCTAATGTTTATGTTGCAATCTCATTTCCGAAAGTTTATAGCCTATTAGGGTCAGACACAAAACTATTAAGAGCTGTTTAAAGCAAATAAGCATCATTAAAAGCTACTACATTCTGATTCCTAGACTTCATTGAAAACACCGCTGAGGCTTTCTTTAATTACGACCCTCAGAAACTCAGAAAGAGCACCACAGATGCCAATCTATTCTAGCATGCTTACCAATGTACAGCTCCGATTATTCTGTATTGAAAAGAAAAAACTCCTATACAAATAGGACCTTAAAACAAACGTCCCAGATGTTTTCTTAAAATCAATGAACAGTGCGTTACAAATTCAAGAATTTTCAACTAAGAAGTTAAATTTTGGATGATATGGAAGAGAATGGTGTTTCAAGCTGCTTTGTAGTGTATTTTCACAATAATTTATGACTGAAAATATCATACGAACAAGATGGCAGGATTGCCTGGTATTTTTCTATTTATATCCTTAATTTTATAAGTGTATAGATATATTTAGCTTGTATTCTAGGAGTCATCCAAGTACTGAAAAAAAAAAGGTTAAGTTGGTAAAGCTTTTACTTATCACATGTATTTTAAACATTTAGCTTTAAAGAAAAATCAAACAGCTTTTTAAAAATTGTAGTCTGAGTATTTGAACAATAAAAACTACTAGTAACTTACTGTGTGCTACCTTTTATTATTGCAATTCTTCCCATCTAAGAGGGTAAAAATTACATACTCACTAATTCATGTGCAAAGATCCAATCTGGTTTCTTAAAATCATGTAAGGCCAAGAATTTTCTTTTCACTATTTGTTGAACGTCTACTATATATTAGGAATTATATACAATCAATACCACTAGGTTAATTAACATGAGAGTATGAAGACATGCTTCTGTGTATTCAAAAAGAGCATTTTGGGCTGAATAATGTTCATACTTAGACATGCTTATGAAATTGGTTCCTACAGACTAGGTTTCCTAGGACCGGATCTGCCATCACTCCCGTCAAACTGGAGAGGCTGACAACTAAATGGTCGGCCTAAGAAGTGTTCCTGGTTGGAATACTGGGTCTACAAAAAGTTCATGGAAAATGTGAACTAAATAGTAATGGAACTTTCCCACCAGCTTTTTGAAGTCCCCAAGTATATATACTCTGGGTCTCACAATAGGAAGACTACACAAAGGGAATGAAAAGACTCAAGAAAAGGAATACGGAATTTGCCCTCAAAACTACATAAAAATTTGGGAAGACAATTTTCCTGACACAGGAGGGTAGAGGGAGGCCTGCAAACATGACTTAATTCACACAACAAATGGGTTTAACATGACAACCCCTACCCCCCCTCTATTAGACCACCAGTTCTTGGCTGCAAATACCCCTTTAAAAATGTGTCAATGAACACAACAGCTGCAGCTCTTCAAAACAAGTTTTCCTTAATTTTAACGGATAAAGCTTTAAGGCACTTGAGGTAACCTGGAAAAATATATACTAAGAACAGTAAAAACACTTTAGAACTTACTATTTTTATATACTGAAAGGGTGTCAGAAAAATGAGTTCTAATAGATTACAATCCAGTTTTAACCAAAAAAACCAAACTCACCGCCATTGAGTCAATTCCTACTCACAGTGACCCCATTAAGGCGAGGTAGAACTGCCCCTGTGGGTCTCTGGAAGACTAATTACAGAGTAAAAAGCCCCATCTTCCAAGGTGCAGGTGGTGGTCTCAAACTGCCAACCTTGCAGTTAACAGACCAACTCTAAACCACTATATCTATATGCATTTTAATATATTCCAAAAGAGGTGACCGTTTAGGCTTTAACAGGAAATCCTCCCTAGAGAAGCAATGTCAAAAGCCTTGGTGTCTCGTGTGTTTCAGCATGACAGAGGGTCATGTGACCCAAAACGCCACCAAATATTTGAGAACTTGCTTCTGGGTGATGGGAAGTTTGGATGGACACAAAACACTCTGCAGGACTGGTCACCGTCTGTGCAGGAGATTCAGCTTTGCCCTTCCCAACCTGGGAAGACTGGGCAGTCAGGCCAGCTGACAGGCACTTCACAAAGCACAGGAGGAACTCCTCCCCACCACGTCGGCCTTGCCTCTTAAACAAATGCCCTCCACGCTTGTTATGGCTTCCGTTTCCATTCATGCAACTGGTGGTATCAAAACCACTTCCTGGAATTGTAAAAGTGCTGCCAGAATAAATGATCTAAGAAAAAAAAATTTAATGACAGTGCTCATATTTGCATTGGACTCTTTTGAATGAATTAAAAGGAGAGAGGTTTGGTGTATTTCCTGATGAGGTGTATGGTTATTTTTCATGCCACCACTTGTGAATTGTAATTGTGGTTTCCCATTTGTTAACTAGGGATAAATGTTAAAAAAATCAAAATAGTTGTTAGGGTTCTCTAGAGATATAAAAACAGACTGCTGATAATTTTATATATTTATAAAGATAGATCTATAACACAAGAAGTGAACTGTTAAATTATAAACAGATATATAATACAAGAAACGAACAGTTAAATTACAAAGCAGTTCAAATGGCTCAGTGCAACTCACTCCCGTGAGAATTGTAAAACACTGGCAGTCCCTTCAAGTCTTGAGGGCTGCCTGGTAGTCCTCTGTAGGGAGAGCTAGGCTATCCCAGCACGGGCAGCAAAAGAGCAAGGCAGGTCACCAACTGTCAGCCAGGTCACAAAATGTCAGTCCCCAGCTCAAGAGATGTAAATTTTCAATCGTGTGGTCTTAAAAGGACCTCAACTTACAGCAACACAGTCCACAGGCTGGGCGTCCCACAGGTAGTGTAGCCTGTAAATTAAGGCACAGTACAAGCAAGGCAGCCCCACTCTGGTCCGATGATCAAAGAGCGAGAGACAAGAAAGGCGAGGCTCACTGAGCCATTTATCTCTCCGCCCTTCAATTAATCCCACTTGTGTTAATCGGCCAGGCTGGCA